GCTAAAATAAATGTAGGGAGATTTCAAGCTCGTGGATTAACAAAGGACATGGAAAGCAATTCACAGGAAACTAAAGCAGAATTGTTGATAAACGTACACAAAGATGCTCAACCTGAATGTTAATCAAGCAAATGCGAATTAAAACAAGATACCAAATCATGTCCATAAAATTGGTGGGAAAGTTATAATGCCTGGAAATACCCAATGTTCATGAGGATAGAAAACTCTCATATGTTGCTATTGTTGTTGGGTGCTGTCAAGTCGATTCCAACTCATGGCAACCCTGTGTGACAGAGTAGAACTGCCCCATAGGGTTTTCTTGGCTATAATCGTTATGGAAGCAAATCTCCAGGTCTTTCTCCTGCAGAGCCACTGGGTGGGTGAGCCACTGGGTGGGTTCAAACTGCCAACCTTTGGGTTAACAGCTGAGAGCTTAACCACTGCGCCACCAGGGCTCCTGCATACGTTGCCAGGGAGAGAGTAAACAGAGCAATCTGGCAGTATCGAACAAAGGTGAAGAGGGACCTTCCCTGCAACTAGCTTCTTCATTGTAGATGGTGCGAGAACATGTGTGAAGCGAGCCTGCAGGAATGTTCACAGCACATTGTTTGTATTGTGTGTCAAAAGTATCCATTTAATACATTCATTTTGAAAGCAGCCATCTTGCTGAACTGTCTTATTAGATATAGTGGATGTGCGTAGATTCTCTTGGATTTCTCAGGGACGCATTCCCATCCCCTGTGTAAATTGATGGGAGTCCCTGAGTGGTGCAAAGGGTTAACACGCTCAGCTGCTAACCAAAAGGTTGGAGGTTCTAGTCCACCCAAGGCACCTCAGAAGAAAGACCTGGTGATCTACTTCCAAAAAAATCAGCCATTGAAAACCCTGTGGCGCACAGTTCTACTGTTACACACATGGGTTGCTAGGAGTCGGGGTCAACTCGATGGCAACTGGTTTAAACTGTTATAGAATGATAAACTGGACCATCAAAGCAGTTTTTGAAGACAAACAATGTCTGTTAGGATAGAAATGTGTACAAAAGTCCAATTCCCAATAGCAATCAAAAATATAAAAATACTCAGAAATAAATACAGAATTTTTCTGAGAGACATAAAAGACAGCTTGATTAAATGGAACCAGATACCATGTTCCTGGAGAGGAAGACTTAATATTTATATTAATGTATTTTTTTCTCTCAGTCAATCCATGTATTCAGTGTAACTCAGTCAGAATTATGCAAGAATTTTTTTTTATTATTTGGGAAAATTCTTTGCAAGTTTATCTAAAAGAATAAATGTGGGAGAATAATAAAAAACATTAAAAGAAGACTAATATTTGAAAAAATAGCGAGAATGGTTGCACAACTTGAAGAATGTAATCAGTGTCACTGAATTGTACATGTAGACACTGTGGAATTGCTGTATTTTTGTGTCCGTATTTTCACCACAATAAAAAAAAGAAAACTAATGAGAGAGAATTTGCCCTACTAAATATTTAAATATATCATAAAGCTACAGAGTCTAAAACAGTGTAGTTCAGGCACAGAAATAAACAAATAGACTAATGGAATAGAATAGAAAGTTGACAAACAAGACCGAATAGATATAATTATCTGTATAATTGCCAGGGGTGGAATCAAACAATGTATTGCATTGGGCAAATCTGCTGCAAAAGACCCCAAAGTTTGAAAAGCAAAGATGTTACGCTGATGACTAAGGTACATCCGGCTCAAGCCACAGTATTTTCAATTGCCTCATATGCATGCGAAAGCTGGACAGTGAATAAGGAAGACACAAGAAGAATTGGTGCATTTGAATTGTGGTGTTGTCAAAGAATATTGAATATACCACGGACTGCCAAAAGAACAAACAAATCTGTCTTGGAAGAAGTACAGCCAGAATGCTCCTTAGAAGAGAGGATGGCGAGACTTCGTCTCAAGTACTTTGGACATGTTAGCAGGAGGGACCAGTCCCGGAGAAGGACATCAAGCTTGGTAAAAGAGGATCAGCAAAAAAGAGGAAGAGCCTCAGTGAGATGGATTGACACAGTTGCTGCAACAATGGGGTCAAACATACCTACTATTGTGCAGGACTGGGCAACGTTTCATTCTGTTATACATGGGGTCACTATGAGTTGGAACCGACTCAACAGCACCTAACAACAACAACAACGTATGCTAAAGGTGGATTGAAAATTGATGGTGGCCAGAATAGTAACAAACAGCATTTGGTCAGATGGTTAACCAACCAGGGAGAAAAGGAAGAATTTTATCTTATACCATACACCAAAATAAATTTCAGGTAGGCTCAAGGACAAAAGCACTAGAAGAAAATATTGGTTCATTTATTTATTATACATTTATTAAGTGCCCGTTTTGTGCCAGGCACTATTTTGGGTATTGATGTGTGAATAATTGTAGATTGGGTTAATTTCATGGTGGAAATTCCTGCAGCTATTTAAAGGCTGTTGTGGCAAAATATACAGATTGTATTAAGAGAACGAGCAGATTGCTGTATAGTATCTATAGTCTGACCCTATTTTCATTTTAAAAAATATAAATAAATATATAAATATAAGAAAAGGTACGCATAGAACAAAGCCTGGGAAGAGTCACCAAACTGTCATTAGTGCTAGCAAATTTTTGTTTTCTTTGTGCTTTTCTGTGTTTTGTAAGTTTTCTACAATAAAATATTTTATTGTAATGAGACATTTTTTTCTTAGTGAATCAGAATGAATTATACTTTGAAATTAAGGAAAAATCCTGTTCCCATTAAACTTTTTATTAACAATAATTTTTAATACCATCCTATATTCAGTTAGTTTCAAATATCTAATTAGCTCATAAATGTCATAATGTTTTTTAAATTTATGGTTTGAGTCAGAATCCAAAGAAGGTCCACACGTTAGATTGGTTGTCTTTTAGGTGTTTTTCAATCTATAGGTTTCCCCCTCTGTTATGGATTGAATTGTGTCCCCAAAAAATATATGTTGTAAATGCTAACCTCTATGCCTGTGGTGGAAACCCTGGCGGCGTAGTGGTTAAGGGTTTGGCTGCTAACCAAAAGGTTGGCAGTTCGAATCCATCAGGCACTCCTTGGAAGGTGTATGGGGCAGTACTGCTCTGTCCTGTAGGGTCACTATGAGTCGGAATCGACTTGATGGCAGTGGGTTTTGGTTTATGCCTTCGGTTATAGTCCCATTTGGGAATGGGTTGTCTTTGTTATGTTAATGAGACCGGATTAGTGTAGGATGTGTGTAAGTCAATCACTTTTGAGATATAAAAGATTAAATAAGCAAGCAAGAAGGCAGAGATGGTGTAAGATAGATGCCAAGACATATGGAGATCTCCAAGGAACCAGGAAGCAGAAGCTGAAGAGACAAGGACCTACCTCCAGAGCTGACAGAGAAAGCCTTCCCCTAGAGCCAGTGCCCTGAATTTGAACTTCTAGCCTCCTATACCATGAGAAAATAAATTTCTGTTTGTTAAAGCCACCCACTTGTGGTATTTCTGTTATAGCAGCATGAGATAACTAAGACACCCTCCATCTCTTTTCTTCCTTTGTAATTTATTGGTTGAAAAAATCAGGTCATTTGTCCATTCTGGATTTTGCTGATTACATTCTATCATTTCATATATTCTGCTGTACTTCCTGTAAGTTGGAAGTTGGATCTAGAGGCTTGATCTGATTCAGGAATTTTTTTCTTTTTTTTTTTTTTTTTGGCAAGATCAATCCATAGGTGGTGGTGTGTCTTCCATCAAGAAGCACATGATGTCTGCTTCTCCCTCTTAACTGTAGCAACCATTGAGGATTAATGCCTTGGTCCATTCATTCCAATGTATATTTTAATGGGTAAAATATTTTTATAACAATTTGGATTCAGCAGAGCACTAAACCCTAAAGTGGTGTCATCTCAGTCTATCAGTGATATAAAGCAATTGCATATAAGATCTGGAAACAGACTTGAGGTACCCAGAAGCCTGAACAAATCTCCGTAATATACAGCACTGTTAGCTTGAAGAATGGCTTCTTTTAGAAAGGTTTTGCTTCATAAATAGTCGAGTGGAAATATTGTCCCAGTTTGCTGCCAGCTGGCACCACGTTGTGTGCCATGTACAAATATCCATCACCCACCCATGGATCCCATCTTTGATATTTACCAAAGCACCAGGGGGTCTTTCACTCAATCACAACTTCTGTTGTTATTTGTAGAATTATCTGGAAAGGAGCAGCAACCCTGAATCCTGGGGAGCCAGTTCATTTTTCTGATGATTGTTGTCTTTGCCGATACTCAGAAGTTCAGGGGACAGATGGGAGTCAGGAAAGCCAGATGCCTGCACGATTCTACCCCTGACAAGCCCAGCAGGCCTAGATGGAGCCCTCATTTTAGTAGGAAAGAGACAGAGGCTGACCTTGGGGGAGGGAAAGGGACCCTGACAAACTAGTCACTTGAACTCCATCCTGCCTGGATCCCAGGGGCCATGTCCAGCAAAGTGGTTGAGACTGAGGCCACTGCCCCAGTGCGGTGGGGTGCAGGAGGGTGGCTGTGTCAGCTACTGGAAGGACAGGATTGAGTGTTTAGCAGTGGAGATGCCTGCTGCATTCAGCCTGCCTGTCTGCAGGAACGGATGGCTGAGGGAGTCAGACAACTCCACCCTGGCCTCACCAGGCTGCTGACGGGTAAGCTGATGCCATATGGGGGTTGAAGGAGCAAGAGCAGATCTCCACTGGAAAGGTTAGAATAGCAACCCGTTTCTAGAAACTGGATTCACGCTGAGATGGGATGGACGCAGCACTGGCACGAAGTGGAAACAAGAGATGCTGACGACTTGCTCCATTGCTAACTCCACGCTGCCATCTTCCTTGTACCTGATGACTCACTGCCCCCTGGCAGTTCTTATTGGTGCAGAACTCTGGACATTTGGGCTGTGGGGTGAGAAATTCTTGTTTGAAATAAGGCCATGCTGATGATGTTGGTTTGCTTATCTCTCCTGTGTCCAGGTGTACGATGGCAACAACAACTCTGCCCGTTTGCTGGGGGTGTTCAGCCGCTCTGAGATGTTGGGAATGACTTTGAACAGCACGTCCAGCAGTCTGTGGCTTGATTTTATCACCGACGCTGAAAACACCAGCAAGGGCTTTGAACTGCACTTTTCCAGTAAGTCTTCCTTGCATCGGAGCGGACAATGAAGTCAGGCTTTCCCTGGCCCACAGACAGAGGGAGGTTGGGCTCTGGGACACTGTCTACCACATAAATAGGTTTGATTTTCTCTAACTGGTGCTTGCTTAGCCGGATGCTTCCTCCAAGACATTGTGCCTATGATTTGGATAAGCTGCCACTCAGACTGCAGCTTCATGGCGTGAACATGTGGTTAACCGAGCTGAGGGTCACATCATACTTTTTACTCACTCATGCTAAATGAGCCTTTTAAATTAAAACACCCAAACATTGTTGTTCAGTGCTGTCAGTTGATTCCAGCTCATAGTGACCCCATGTGAAAGAGCAGAACTGTCCCATAGGTTTTCTCGGCTGGAACCTTTAGAGGAGCAGATCACTAGGTCTTCCTCTTTTGGAGCCACTGGGTGGGTTCAAACCGACAGCCTTTCAGTCAGAAGTTGAGCACTTAACCGTTTGCACCACCAGGGCTCCTTCAGCATAGGCTTCCCTAATCGTGGCATTAATAAAATAATGTTCGGCTCCAGCACAAACACTAATGTATAATTACATTCTTTGTTACCCATTGCTGTTGAGTCGATTCCAACTCATAGCAACCTATAGGATAGAGTAGAACTACCCCATAGAATTCTCAAGGCTGTAATCCTTAGAGAAGCAGACTGCCACATTTTTCTCTTGTGGAGCGGCTGGTGGGTTCAAACCACCTACCTTTTGGTTAGCAGCCAAACACTTAACCACTTCACCACCAGGGCTCCTATGTTCTGTGTTACTACTCCCTAAAGACTGAAGTCTTGATTCTTTCTCTCTTTTTTTCATTAGTTTAACTTTCTCTTTTATCACTGGGATTTTGAAAATGGGAAGCACCCAGGCATGTAAGCAGCCCCAGAGCACTTGGGATCACATTCCCCGCCCTCTGGCTTCACAGACATTTTATTCATCTATTGGAGCCTCTACTTGCTCCTTGTTGTTGTTAGATGCCATCAAGTGGGCCCTTGACTCATGGCAGCCCCAGGTACAAGTAGATCGCAGGCCTTTCTCCCTAGTCCTTCTTAGTCTAGAAGCTCCGTTGAAATCTGTTCAGCATCATAGCAGCACATAATCCACCACAGACAGATGGGTGGTGGCTGCTCTTGGGGTGCATTGATCAGGAATTGAACCTAGGTCTCCCACATGAAAGGGGAAAATTCTACCACTGAACTACCACTCGCTCATTAGGTAGGAAGGAATGTGTTCTAGAATGTCTTAAAATCCAATGAGTATCCATCAGCTGATGAACAGATACAATGGAATATTATTTGGCAATTTAAAAAATGAAATACTGGTACATGCTACAACTTGGATGAACCTTGAAATCATGCTAAATGAAGGAAAACAGTCTCAAAAGACCACATAGTGTATGGTTCCACTTATATTAAATGTCCATAATCAGCAGATCCATAGAAACATAATGTACATTAGTTTTTTCCTAGAGCTGGGTATGTGAGGAGGGGGTGTTGGGGAGGAAATGGAGAGTAACTGCTAATGGGTACGGGGCTTCCTTTTGGGCTGATGAAAATGTTCTGAAATCAATTGCAGTGATGGTTGCACAACTCTGAATATAATAGAAAACACTGAATTGTGCACTTTAAGTGGGTGAATTGCATGGTATGTGATTATATCTCAATAAATCTGTTATTAAGAAACCCAGTGAGTATACTCAGAATTCCCCTGCCTGGGCTCTCAGCTGCCCAGCTTAGGGATCTTCACCTGTTACAGCAGACAGTACAGCGGAGCCGGATTAAGCAGAGTCGCATTGAATCACACCGCTATCATTTGACAGTTGTGTGGCTTTGGAACAATTTATTTAACCTTCCCAAGTCAGTGTTCACAGTTGTAAAACGCAGATCATTATACCTACCTATAACACTCCTGTGAATAACAAGTGAGAGATAACATACATAAAGCATCGTATAGTAGAGCTCTGTATAAGTCGGCTCCCTTTTCCAGCGTTTTGCAATAGTTTATTTAAGCAGAACATAATTGAGCTTTTAAACATACATTTAAAGTGACTTTTCCATGTTACACTATCCCCTCAGGATGTCTCAGTGGGCAAAATGGAAAAACACAGCTCCTGCTAGCAAAACACTATGGGGTCAAACACAGGAAATAGAAAACCCAGGCCTTCTGCCTGAAAGCAATTAAAAGCTGTCATGAGAAAAATGGGAGCCCTGGTGGCACAGTGGTTAAGAGCTCGGCTGCTAACCAAAAGGTTGGCAGTTCAAATCCACCAGCCGCTCCTTGGAAACCGTATGGGGCAGTTCTACTCTCTCCTATAAGGTCACTATGAGTCAGAATTGACTCGATGGCAATGGGTTTGGCAGTGGGCTTGGGAGAAATAACTGGAATCATTTGCATATAGCACCAGGGGAATGAATGCTCCTTAATTTAATATCCCCTCACCTGAGTATTGAAATATGGAGGGAGTCCCAAATGGTGGCTCCATCAGAACCTGGAGGCACTCACCAGGTGTCTTCCTGGAGCACATGGGCTCTGAGGGAGGAGAGGAAGCATGGTTCCTGTCACAGGGGCACCTTGCTCACACGGCCTCTTCTCTCTTCACCAGGTTTTGAACTCATCAAATGCGAGGACCCAGGAACCCCCCCGTTTGGCTACAAAGTCCATGATGGAGGTCATTTTGCAGGGAGCTCTGTGTCCTTCAGCTGTGACCCTGGATACACCCTGCGGGGCAGTGAGGAGCTGATGTGTCTGAGTGGCGAGCGCAGGACCTGGGACTGGCCTCTCCCCACCTGCATCGGTAGGAGGCCTGTTGCTCTTCAACTCTCCCCACCCCGGGTTCCCTGCTCTGGTCTCAGTAAGGATCTTAGCCCTTCAGGATCTGGGGGCCTGTCTAGCCTGACCGAGCCCCCCGTTGAACAGGGATCATCATTCTCATCCTGCCCCACCCGTCTCCATGTCCTCACTTTCACACCTCATTACCTCATGCAGCAGCACAGCCAGGCATGGTGGATTGTCACTGTCACACATTTAGTAAGTAGCCTAGAGCCAAGGCATGCCCTCAGAGTTGTAACGCTGGAGATGGAAAAGAGGTGGGAGAGTCAGTTAGAAAGGGAGACGTTCGGGCCTTTGCCTGCATTCCAGTGGTCCCTTCACCACCAGGACTCAAACAAGTCTCCAGCTCACTCTGAGCCTCGGTTTCCCTACAGGTAAAATTCTTCCTTTCTAGGGGAAGGTTGAAGAAAGAGTAAGGTAATTAATTAGCATCTTCTTAAGCCTGAGGTACATCCAGTGTCAGCAGAGGCTCTGGGGAAGCCTCATCCTTGAGTCTCAGGACAAGAGAAGGCCGACCTAAGGCAGAAGTGTGAAGTAGGTGAAACACATTGTCCTGTTTGTCTGGACTTTTCATCTCTTACTACCCACCTCACTCCACATTTTACCCTCCTCACTGATCAGGATTCCTACCACACTGCTTTGTCCCACCTCCCCAGCCCGAGACCAGGCCTTTCCCTCTCCCCATTTCCTTCCCCATGTCCCAGAACCTCAGTGTGTCCATGGGCACATCACTGGCTAATCTTACAAGATCAAAAACATCCATTGGAAAAACATTTAAGTGCCTACCATGCATGTATCACAATTGGTGTGTGTTTGGGTGTGTGGAGAAGCATAAAAATAAAGAAAGCGGAAAGAATAAAGCATGTTCCCTGTCCTTGGGGAAACTCATACTCTAGCAAGGGGAATTGACACATAAACAGGTAATTAGAATATAAGATAATCACTGTAAAAGAATTAATGTGCAAAGTGTTGGGAAATACAGAGGAAGTTTTCCATAGAAGGTGATGTTTCTATTGGGATTAGGAAGGATGGGTAAAAATACACCAATGATGGGCGAGAGGGGTGTGGAAGGGAAGAATTCTAGTTTAAGCACATGCAAGGGCTGGCGGTATGAAACAGCCATGATGGGAAGCGCTAATGACTGAGATTGGTTCTTTTCCCCAAGACAACTGTGTTTTAATAGGATCTTCAACACTGTTACACAGAAGAGGGTCTACGGGCAAGGATTTTAAGCCTGAAAGTAGACAGACCATAGTAGTGGCCTGTAGGGTCTTCCTCCCTCTTTGTGCTTGAGCTTGACCCAGTCTGCAGGCATGCCCCAGCCCTTTCCCCCTTCATCCCTCTTCCCACTTCTTTCGTTCATGTGTCAGGCCCTGTGCCAGATACTGGGGATGCAGAGAAGAACAGATCCCAGGCAGTAGGGGAGACACATACATAAACAGACAATGGCATAACGCCAAACAAAGGCAAGCCAGAGCAAGCAAAATGTGAAGGAGGCAGGATGATTCACATGATAAAAGAGTTATTTGCTTTGCAGAAAGGATTCGCTGTAAAGTTGTTTGAGTATCAAACATCCTGATTGGACTAGACTTAGAGGATCTACTTGAACGGGGCTAGCATTTATACTTCGAACCTTGGAGGCCTTTTACAATGAGACTCGCTCAAGCTCCACTGCTGGCGGTGAGGCTGTGTATTTGGGATTTTTATATTTTTATGTATGTCGTATCATGGTAGACTTCATTATGGCCTACCAGAAATGACTGCTATGGCTTAAAGCATCCAGGTGTCTTCTTCATTGATGAGCTAGCTGAGTGGACTCGCAGGCAAACAAATCAGCCAAAGCTCTAGGATGGGAAGAAAGGAGAAGTCCAGAAAGGGTAGAGTCTTAGGGTCCTGATGTTGGTGAATCCACTCATGCTTGCCCATTTGTCCCCCTCCTGCCCACCAGCCATTCCTCAGATGCAGGGATCCTGTGGGAAAGAAGTAGTTGTGTCCATGAGGAAGTGCTGCCAGTACTGCTGCCTCCAAACACTTGCTGGGAAGCAGGAGTTGCTTCTCCATCTGGAATGTGGAAGGAGGCGCTAGCCAAGGACCTGGTTAATGGTGTGCCATCTTTCCAGCTGCCTCCTCTGCATGTGTGGCTAGACAGGCTTCCTCCCCACAGCTTATACGCCTCCCTCTCACCCACACCCTGCTCTCTTCCATTGTCCCATTATGCCTAACATCTTTCAGTCAGGTTGGCACCCCCTGTCCCAACAGCACCGTGGAGGAAGGACTCACAGCCAGTGAGGCTTTGAGCAAAGGATCTGGTCTCCTGAGCACCCTTAGTGGTAGAGGGCCCCCTTCCCCCAGCCCTTCCTTAGTGGTCCTGTGTGAAGCCATGGAGCCCTTGATACGCTTGATGGGTTCTTTATAGCAAGGTCAACCTTCCATCTGTGATCTTGATCCCATCTTCTCCTACTTATTCTATGTTCTTACTTAATTATTCCTTTTCCTTAATAGCTCTGTAGTAAGTCTCCTCCTCTTCATTTTCACTTATGTTGCCTGGGTGCAGATCCTCATTGTAATTAGTCTGGAAGGCAATAGCTTCTTTTATTCATTTGGTCACGCATCCATCCATTCATTCAGTAAGCACTTATTAAGCATCTATAATGTGCCAAACACTATACTAAGTATTTGATATGCAAATATGAGTAAGACAAGATCCCTGCTGCCAAGGAGCTTCTAGTCTTGTGGATGAGATAGGTATGATTTAGTAACATGCCGTGGACCCTATGATGAAAAGCTGTTCAAGTTATAATGAAGACGCAAAGGAGACCAGTGTCAATTCTACCTGGCGTGGAGGGATCTACAGAAGGTTTCGTAGGGATGATGTTTGTCAGGTTGTCAGTCCAAGTAGAGGCATGAAGCAGTCTAGTGTGCTTGAGTTCATGAAGTTGATTAGATTTGGCTGGAGCGAAGGGGTAGGGTGGGGGGGCCAGAGACGCCAGAGGGAGCCCCTCTGGAGTCTCGTTGGGCTCTATTGCAGAATTTGGTCTTCATTCCAGGAAGGATGTTTTCGTGGTCAGATTTGCATTTTAGAAAGATCCCTCTGGTGGCACTGCTGAGAGTGGACAAGACTCAACTGTGCCAGCCAGGAGATGATGAAGGCCTGAGCAATGGAGACAGAGCAGGATCCTCTGTGGAAATAAAAAAAAAAAAAATGTTGCTGAGGTGGATCTTAGAAGCAGATTAGATGTGGGGGATGAAGGAGGAGAAGGCCAGAAGGGGTCATCTGTCTCAGGTGACTGTTCCACCCCTGCCACCCAACCAGCCTGGTCAACTCTTATTCCTCCTTCAAGATTCATTTGAAACCAGGGTCCTCCCTTCCTCTCCCTGCCCTGTAACAAGAGAAATTGGCCACATCCTCCTCTGTGCCGCGACTTGCCATGAGTGTGCCTCGATCAGGGCATGCAGCACACACTGGGGCTGTGTCCTCTGCTCGTCCATAAGCTCATCCAGAAGAGGGACTGTGTCTTGTTTACTTCTCTACTCCTGCACCTAGCACAGGTTCCGTTGCTGTCAAGGAGCAGGTTCAAGGCCTGCATCTTCCTCCCTGTGAGGCCTTGAGTTTAGTCACAGAGTAGGCTGCCATCCCTACACACAGGGTATGCAGGGACCTTTTCTTTTCTTTTTTTTTTTTTTTTTAACGGCTTTATTGAGATATAATTCACATACCATACAATTCACTATCTAACGTGTACAGTTTAATGGTCTTTTAGTATATTTGCAGGGTTGTGCAACTATCACTACAATCCAATTTTTTAATGTTTTGTCCCCCCAAGAGGAGACCCCACACCCATTAGCAGTCACCCCTCTACCCCCTCCCTCCCACTCCCCAGCCCTGGCAACTACTAGTCTACTTTCTGTCTCTAGAGATTTGCCTGTTGTGAACATTTCATGTAAACGGAGTCATAAAATATGTGGCCGTTTCTGTCTGGCTTCTTCCACATAGCATAATGTTTTCAGAGTTCATGCAAGTTGTAGCATATATCAGTACTTTGTCCTTTTTTGTGGCTGAATAATAGTCCATTGTATGTATATAGCACATTTTGTTTATCCATTCATGAGGTGATGGACATTTGGGTTATTTACACTTTTTGTCTGTTCTGAGTAATGCTGATACGAGCATTGTTGTACAACTTTTGTGTGAACCTATGTTTTCATTTTTCCTGGGTCTATTCCTAAGAACCAAATTGCTGGGTCATATGTTTTAACATTTTGAGGAACTACCAAATTCTTTTCTATGGCAGCTGCACCATTACACATTCCCACCATCCTAGTAGGTGTGAAGTAGTATCTTATTGTGGCTTTGATTTGCATTTCCCTAATGACTAATGAGGAGCCCTGGTAGCTCAGTGGTTAAAGCATCTGACTGCTAACTGAAGGGTAGCAGTTCAAACCCACCATCCACTCTGTGGGAGAAAGATGTGGCAGTCTGCTTCCATAAAGATTCACAGCCTTGGAAACCCAATGGGACAGTTCTACTCTGTCCTATAGGATCACTATGAGTCAAAATTGACTCAATGACCATGGGCTTTTTTTTTTTTTTTTAACGACTAATGCTATTGGCATCTTTTCATGTGCTTATTGGCCATTTGTCTACTTTTCTTTGGAGAAATGTCTATTCAAATCCTTTGCCCATTTTTTAAAAATTGATTATTTGTCTTTATTGTTGAGTTGTAGGAGTTCTTTGTATATTATGGACCTTTTTATTTGCTGTACTCAATCACCTGGAATAAACGAGAGGGACTCAGGGATCCACAAGCAAGAGAAGCTACTAAGTCACTGCTGGCAGCTCAGCCTACCCCAAGAAGCTCACTCTTTTGGGATTTCTTTCAGCTGAATGTGGTGGGACAGTGAAAGGAGAACTGTCAGGACGGGTGCTGTCACCAGGGTATCCAGCTCCTTACGAACACAATCTCAACTGCATCTGGACCATCGAGGCTGATGCTGGCTGCACCATTGGGTAAGTATCAGGGCCCGCAAAGTAACCACTGCCAGTTGTTCAGAGGAGCCATCACCAGCATTGTCACCTGGCCATCCGGCTAGTGCCTGGACCTGCCCACATCACCTGGAAGTCCTTGTGGTCAACAGTGGTTGCTACGGCCCAGGCTTGTGCTGGGTCTTATAGGAAACCTGGAAAGGACAGTCTCAGCCTCACAGGGCTGCTTCTAAGTTCACAAAACCCACTGACGTAGATGACCCACTTACAGCAAGGTAGCTGAGGACACAGGCTTTAAGTCACACAGATCCATTTGAATCCCAGCCCGCCATTTACTATTTGCAGTACTTTGAGCAAGTTCCTTAATCTCTCTGAGACTCACTATCTTCTTCAGTAAATTATAGGTTATAATACTGGCTTCCCAGGAATAACATAAAGCATTTAAATGAGATATTGCATGTAATATGCTCAGCATGGTACTTGGGACATGGTACATATTTAATAATGGTTGCTGTGGTTATTTCTCTGAAGTAGGACTCAGGTGTATGATGAGTGGAACCGGATAGTCCCTCGATAAACATTGAATGAACAATGAGTGAATCAAGAGCGTAAGTGACTATTGTACTCTAACAGACACATCTACAAGTCAGGAGAAGGTTTTTCTGCTTCCCTATTTGGAGCGTCATTCAGTCATTCTCTCACATGGCAGTACTTGTGCAAGGTGCTGGCGTTACATCAATGAGTGAGGCCCAGTCGCTATTCACAGAGAGTGGAGGAGAAGTGCCTGTACAATGAGCTTCACACAAGGCACAAAAGGAAGGGGAATGAGAAGGCAGGACAGGAGGAGATGAGGGGTGTTATTCTGGAAAAGTGGCACAGAGCTGAGTCCTGAATCATGGAGAGGAGGTTGGTAGGTAGCCATAAAGGAAGGCTGGTGTGGAGGGGAAGGGCCTACTAACACAGGAAGTGAAGCCTTGTGCTCAGGCTCAGATTGCTGGAAATGATTTCATGTGGCTGGAGCATCGCATGTGAATTGGTAGGTGGGAGGAGCTATGGGACAGGAAACTGGGGAAGTATGCTGTGGCCAGAGCATGGAGGGCCTTGGGTGCTGTGAGGCTGGTTTGGATATATTCTGGGATAGGCAAGGCCTGGGAGCCCAGTGGAGAAGCTGTGTCCAGAGTCTGACTAGAGGGTGATGAGGCCTGAACCCCGGCAGTGGAGTGGGGGTGGAGAAGTAGGCACACATTCAGGAGACAGTTAGGAGGTCACACCAGCTGGTCCCACTCTCCTCAATAAATATGGAAATTGAGGTTTCTTTCATTTTCCCCTTTTTTTATTGTGTGACATATAATAAGTAAAATATACAGAAAAGTTGGAAGAACAGTGCCATAAACACCTGCATTCCTACCACCTAGACTCAGCTGTTGTTAATATTTTGCCGTATTTGCTTCCTTTTTTTTGTTCTTTTTTCGACCTTTTCTCTTCTTGCCAAATCACTCAAAAGCACATTGCAGACATTGATCTTTCTTCCTAAACGCTTTGGTACGCGTCTTCTAAAAAGGAGGATATACTTCTCTGTGACACAGCAACATCAGCATACCTCAGAAACCAGCAGTTCTCTGGGAATTAAGATTTAGGACAAGGGCTGAAGGAGAGCAGAGCTGGTCTCGGAGCAGCTGACAGAGGGAGAGCACAAGAGACAAAGGAAGGGCTTTCTGGTCAGGAGTGAGGACCATTATCACTTAGGGGAATGGTGGTGTGGAGGGGACACACGAGGATCACTTCCCAGCTCTCAGGAAGAGAACATCAAAACGAATACAGGAAATAGACTTCCCTTGGCAGCGTAGAAGGAGCTCTGGTGGCTCAGTGGTTAAGCACTCAGTGCTAACCGAAGGGTTGACGATTCAAACCCACCAGCTCCTCTGTGGAAGAAAGATGTGGCAGTCTGCTTCTGTAAAGACTACAGCCTTGGAAACCCTATGGGACAGTTCTACTCTGTCCTGTAGGGTCTCTATGAATTGGAATCAACTTGACAGCAACGGGAACGAAACAGAACAGCAACATAGGAAGAAGTAAAAAGTCATGGAGGGGAGGGGTTGTGGGAGACAGGCTGAGTGTGTGTGTGAGGACCACAAGATGGGAAATAGCCAGGAGAATGTGAAGGTGACATCAGTCCTCAATCCTGGGAGGCTTCTTGGGACCATGACAACCTCAAAGGAGCCAGTGCTAAGTAAGCAGAGGAGAGTGAGGGGTGGGTGTCTTTCCTGTGCTCATCGGCCCGCACCCCAGCTCACCATCTCAGCCACACTGTAGCAGGCGCTTGTGTACTACTCATTTCAACTCTCTCTTCTGCTCCCCTCATCTGCCTCCTCTCCCCTCTCTCCCCTAGTTTCCCTCCCTTCATCATCCCCCCAACCCTCAACACATACCTCATTGAATAACCAGCAGAAAATTTAGGGAATCATAATTAGACTGAATTAAGATGAACACAAAAGCCCCTTTTGTATTTGAGTCCTTATTCAGAGATTTAGTTATTACTTTTCAAAATGGGGATTTTTTATAGCATTTTCTATATAAAGATTCTTAAATAGACACAAAATGTATATTTCTTCATTTAGAGATTTACATATAATTTATATATAAATATATATAATATACGTGTGTGTAAATATAATAAATCTCAAATTATATCTATAATCCATCAAGTCTGTCCCTGACTCATGGTGACCCCATGTGTTACAGAGTAGAAGTAGTCTGTAGGGTTTTCTTGCTGGCACAGTTAAGCATTTGGCTGCTAACCGAAAGGTTGACAGTTCTAACCCACCCAGCAGCTCTGTGGGAGAAAGACCTGGTGATCTTCTTCTGTAAAGATTATAGCCTAGGAAACCTTACAGAGCAGTTCTACTCATGCTTGGTAAAGTAGAGGGTCAGCAAAAAAAGAGGAAGAACTTCAGCGAGATGGATTGACACAGTGGCTGCCACAGTGGGCTCAAACATACCCACTGTTGTGAAGATGGCGCAGGACCAAGCGATGTTTTGTTCTATCACATGGGGTCACTATGAGTCAGAATCAACTCAACAGCACCTAACAACGCAACAACAACAAATCTTTACAGAAGCAGATCACTAGGCCTTTTCTTCCATGGAGCCGCTGGTGGGTTTGAATGGCCGGCCTTTAGGTTAGCAGCCGATTGAAAATCACTTATTCTACCTGGACTCCTTACATATATAATGGCAAGTCAATTCCAACTTAATAGATACTCCTTTTTTAAAAATTCAAAATGCAAACAATATAGGAATTTATAAAGTAGAAATCAAAAATCCCCATAGTCTTACTCTGTTCTCTTCCACACACCCCACATAATATAACCATTGTTATCAGTTTGTTCTACTTATTCTTTTAAATATTTTATATGCCAATATAGACAGAAAGCAAATGCAATAAACATGGTTTCTAAAATAAGATCATCTGTAGCATGGCTCAGTAATTTGCTTTTTGTTTTACCACTTCGTCGTATATCATTGCCTTATTATGTCAATATATATAGATCTCCCACATCCTGTTTGAAAGCAACAGGGAATTCTACTGTACGCACAAATATAATTTATTTAACGACTCCTTTATTGATGAAGTGAATATTTTCAGTTTTTCAACAAGTGAGCATGAATCTTTGCCCAGTCTTCCAATTATTTCCTTAGGATATATTCTTAGAAGGAAAATTTTGATACATGACCTCAAATCTCCCTCTAGATACTGCAACAATTTGCATGTTCACTGAAAGTCCATGAGAGGCCTGATTCCCCAGACAACATCACTAGATGTTGTCAATCCTTTTAGTGTGTGCCAGTTTGATGGACAAAATGATATTTTTTTGTCTTTACTGCTTCAAGTTCTTTATGTATGTTTCTTCTGGGGAATTTGTCTTTTTCATATGTTCTACTGTTTTAATTTCTAAGTAGTCTGTCATTTCAGTTTAGAGTTCTTTTTAACCCAAGAATGTTTAAGAATTTTTTTAAATTTACCAAATGGTTATATTTTTTGGATTATCTTTATTATTATTATTATTATTATTATTGCATGTGCGTTTTTTGCTTTCTGAATTTTTTTTGTTTTATATATGTTCCATGGATATTTGAAAAAAATGAAGAGTTCAGGGTTCTATATATTTCTGTTACATCGCATGTACTATACTTTCTTTCAAGTAAAATGCATTATGCTTCTTTATCACATTCTTTTATTTTTAACTCTTCTCGTTGCTAGCTGATTTGATCAAATTGGCTTTGTTTTTCTTCTAGTGATGTGGAAGTTCTACATCCGGTTTTCATTTTGACAATGAGCTTGTTGTTTCATCATTTCAGTTCTTAGCAGTATTTACCCTGTTATTTACTGTCTGTATTTTGGAAATCTTGGTTTTATTTTTATTACAAGGAAACTGCATTTTGTTTTCAGATTGCTCCTGACAGCTTACTTTTGCTTTTATCAGTGTGTTATCATCTTGAATCTCTCCAAGAAAACTACTTAAGTTGTGTTTTACATTGTCTCCTGTTTTTGCCTGCATCAGCTGCATTTTGCAGTTGGGCCATTTGGTCTGATTATTCAGCCGGATTCCTTTTGAAGAGCTAATTCTCTTTATGTCCCAGGAGTTTTGTTATTCGTTCAGTATCAAATCATAGCCAAGAGCTGGACTCTGGTACCAGGCTACCTGCCACTGTTCTTACCTACATAGCTTGGGTGAGCTCTTTAAGCTCTCTGTGCATCAGTTTTCCCATCTATAAAATGGTGATTTAAAGTAATACCTATCACGTAGATTGCTGTAAGGATTAAATTAGTTAACTTACATAAAGCACTTAGAATAGTGCCTGGCATGTGATTCTCAAGTAATGAGGACTCCCATTGGGAGTTGGGTAGGTAGCTATGATGGTTAAGGTTGTGTGTCAGCTTGGGTGGGCCGTGATTCTCAGAGGTTTGTCAGCTGTATGATGGTGTGATCACTTCCATGATGAGATTTGATATAATGTGATCA